TTTCACCCCTGCCAGCTGCAGATTTCAATTCAATATTCTGTTCCTCTGGCCCTCTATTGTCTCTCACCACACCTGTTCCTGGTTCTCCTCAATTCCCCTTTCTTATTTGCTCTCCCATCCAGTTCTCTCTCTTCCACCTGCCTTCTATGAGTGTTTTATTCCCACTTTTGGGTGAGATTCAACTGTACTCATTTGGGCCTGCCTTCTTGTTTAGTTTCTTTGGGTCTATGGAGTGTAGTGTGGGTTTCCTGTATTTTATGATTATTATTCATTTGTAAGTGAGTACATACATGCTTGTGCTTTTAGGTCTGGGTTACCTCACTCAGGATAATAGTTTCTAGCTGTATCCATTTGGCTGCAAAATTCATGATGTCCTTGTATTTAATAGCTGAATAGTTTTTCCTTTTGTAAATGAACTACATTTTCTATATCCATATTTTGGTTGAGGTGCATCTGGATTCTTCCAGTTTCAAGCTGTTATAAATAAAATGGCTATGAACTTAGTGGAGTCCCTACTCTAGGTCACCTGCCTTCACAGAGTCCCTCCTATATCTTCTGTTTGTGGAGGGATCACCTGAATTATATGATTATATTGTCTATGGAAGCATACATTTACTTTGTAGTGATGTCAGTATCAGGCTTTGTGTTGTACACATGTATGGGATATTTTAGGATGCAGTGACTTATGATGATGTGCATGTGAACTTCACTGCGGAAGAGTGGAATTTGCTGGATCCATCTCAGAAGAATCTCTACAAAGATGTGATGCTGGAGACCTACTGGAACCTCACTGCTATAGGTAAGACTGTGAATTTTTATTTATTTATTTATTTATTTATTTATTTATTTATTTATTTATTTTGTTTTTTTCGAGACATGGTTTCTCTGTGTAGCCCTGGCTGTCCTGGAACTCACTCTGTAGACCAAGCTAGCCTCGAACTCTGGAACTCAGAGATCCGCCTGCCTCTGCCTCCCAAGTGCTGGGATTAAAGGCGTGCGCCACCACCGCCCAGCTGACTGAATTTTCTTTTGCTTTTCAAAGTAAGGTAAAAATGTTTCCTGGTTACTGATGATCACCTCTTATTTCAATAGAGAACAAGTAATATTGAGTCGAATAAATCAGGTTCATTGCTGCGAAAATTCAGAGTAACTTGAATTTTGCCTAATTCCAATACTATATCATTCATTTTCTGGTACTGTGTTTTAGACTATAATTTGGAAGACCATCATATTGAAGAACAGCATCAAACTTCTAGAAGTCATGAAAGGTAATTTTAATGTTTAATCTGATACAAATATGCCTGTGAGGAAATTTTACTATGATCTGGAAGCTCTTAAAGCAAAGCAAGTATGTAAAATATCAGTCCTTTTATTGTAGCTATGATGATAATATTCTCACAAGACCATGTACCTCACTATCAATTTTCTGATTTGTGTTTGCAAGGCATTCCTCTAAGAAAGCTGACAAGGAAACAGGGCCTTAAGAGATAGCTTTATTTGATTGGTAGCTCCATTAGGGCTATACTGTGGGACTACCTCTCTGTATAGTCTCATAATATTTAGATGTTGCACATTAAATAGTGATAAATATGTATCCAAAACCTTCTAATAAGCAAATAGCCCATAGCAAAATTGGTAGTATTCATATTCTTTGAGTGACATTGCTAAGTTTATGGAGCAGTCAGTTTATGAGATTCAAGAATGTTGTCATTTAGAAACCTTAATCCATATACAGCAGGTGTACAATGAACCGAAGGTCAAATGTTGTGAATTCAATGTGCAAACATTTCATTTTGTCTTTTTCTTCTTCTTCTCATTGGTATATCAAGTGTCAGAATGAATGAAATGATGTGAGCATATGGATATTTAAAGGAGCCACATACCTTTTACTATTCTAGGACAATGAGGAGAAATGTAGTATTCTGCCTTTGGGAGGCTCTCTGAATATGATAGATGTTTGCAATTAATTGGTTTTCTGACTTTACTGGAAACAACCCAAAAGTTGCACAGCAGAAAATCCCTATGGGTACTAGAAATATTGAAGTTCTTCAGTTTTTCCTGGGTCCCAGTGCAACTGTATTGTGATTCACACTACAGAAAAATTATGAATGCAACCAGTGTTATACAGCTCTGCCTCATTCCATTTTACTTCAGATATGTGAAATCCATCATATAGAAATCTCATATAGGCCGGGAAGTGGTGGCGCACGCCTTTAATCCCAGCACTTGGGAGGCAGAGGCAGGCAGATTTCTGAGTTCATGGCCAGCCTGGTCTACAAAGTGAATTCCAGGACAGCCGGGGCTATACAGAGAAACCTTATCTTGAAAAACAAAACAAAACAGAACAGAACAAAACAAAAGAAAAACAAAAAACAAAAAAAGAGAAGAAAAAAAAAGAAATCTCATATAGAAATAGGATGTTAGAAATACAATCCATGTAATAAATGCTCTTACCATCACAGGAATTTTCAAAGAGGGAAAACAACCCATAGTGGGGAAGTACACCATAAATGTATGAAGTGATAAAACCTTATGATCTGATTCTTTTTTAATATTAAACCAAAACTATAAAAGTAATTCATATGGATAAAATGATTGATCAGGATAATGAATATGGTTAAGCTTTTACATGTGTCAATTATCGTTGCAGGCATGTAAGAAGTCACAGTGGGGGAAAACCAGATGAATGTAATCAATGTGGTAAAGCCTTTGCAAGACCCAGTCATCTCCAATATCATAAAAAAGCACATACTGGAGAGAAACCCTATGAATGTAATCAATGTGGTAAAGCCTTTTCATACTATAGTAGTTTCCAATATCATAAAACAACCCATACTGGAGAGAAACATTATGAATGTAATCAATGTGGCGAAGCCTTTTTATGGCACAGTAGACTCGAATATCATAAGAGAACACATGCCGGAAAGAAACCTTATGAATGTAATCAATGTGGTAAAGCCTTTTTATGGCACAGTCGTCTCCAGTATCATAAGAGAACACATACTGGGGAGAAACCTTATGAATGTAATCAATGTGGTAAAGCCTTTTTATACTATAGTAGTTTCCAATATCATAAAACAACCCATACTGGAGAGAAACCTTATGAATGTAATCAATGTGGCAAAGCCTTTTTATGGCACAGTAGACTCGAATATCATAAGAGAATACATACTGGAGAGAAACCTTATGAATGTAATCAATGTGGTAAAGCCTTTGCAAGATCCGGTCATCTCCAAAGACATAAAAGAACACATACTGGAATGAAACCCTATGAATGTAACCATTGTGGTAAAGCCTTTACATATCCCAGTAATCTTCAAAGGCATGAGAGAATTCATACAGGGGAGAAACTCTACGAATGTAATTAATGTGGTAAAGCCTTTGCTAGATTTAGTTATCTCCAAAGACATAAAAGAACGCATACTGGGGCGGTGGTGGCACACATCTTTAATACCAGCACTTGGGAGGCAGAGGCAGGCGGATTTCTTAGTTCATGGCCAGCCTGGTCTACAGAGTGAGTTCCAGGACAGCCAGGACTACACAGAGAAACCCTGTCTTGAAAAACCAAAAAAAAAAAAAAAAAAAAGAACACATACTGGAGAGAAAGTTTATGAATGTAATCAATGTGGTAAAAGCCTTTTTCACAAAGTTCTTGTCTCCAAAAAACATAAAAGAACTGATATTTGAGAAAAACTTTAGGAATGTAATCAAAGTGCTAAAGCCTTTGCATGTCCAACTAATCTCAAAAACATAAGTGATTGCATACTTGAAAGAAACTATGAATGTAATCAATGTCGTAAAGAGTTTTCACAACTTTATAGCCTCCATTATTATTAAAGAACACGTACAGGAGAGAAACCTTTTGAATGTAATCAGTGTTGTAAAACATTTGCAAGTCACAGTCATCTGCAGTGACATAAGAGATCACATACAAGAGAAAAACCACATGAAGATGCAGAACTCTGAGCTCCTCCAGCATCATGCCTGCCTGCATGCTTGCATTCTTCCTGCTATGATGGTAATGGACTAAATATTAGAAAGTGTTAGCCAGGCCCAATTAAATATTTGCCTTTAACACAGTTGCCTTGGTTACAGTGTCTCTTCTTAGGAATGGAAATTCTATCTAAAATAGAAATTGGTAGCCCAGACTTAAGTATTGCTATGATAGGCAGGCCTGACTGTTTTTTTTTTGTTGTTGTTATTGTTTTGCTTTTGTTTTCTTTTGTTTTGTGGAGCAATGTGGATTTTTAGACTTTGGATTTGTATATGCATTAAGTGGAACTTAATGGGCCATCCTAGTAGGAATATGAAACACATATTACTAAGGGTGATTTGAACTTTGTGTATAGTTTTTATAAGGTTTTGCTAAAGAATGTTGCTGCCTTTTGCCCTTGTCTGTAGAGTGTCCTTGAAAATAAGGTAAAGAGGTTGTTGTTAATTGCATTGACACCTTAAGGAAGTTTCAGGAAAGCCAAGCATAGCCTTTGACCTGTGTTTATTCTCATGGTGATTGTTTTGATCATACTTAGTAATCTTAGAAAGGAAAAACATGGGCTGGAGAGATGGCTCAGCGGTTAAGAGCACTGACTGCTCTTGCAGAGGTCCTGAGTTCAATTCCCAGCAACCACATGGTGGCTCACAACCATTTGTAATGGGATCCAATGCCCTCTTTTGGTGTGTCTGAGGAAAACAACAGTGTATTCATATACATACAATAAATAAATCTTCTTAAAAAAAAAAGACCTCTTCCCCCTCTCTCCACGTGGTCATGGCGGGCCTCTAGTCTCTCTACTCCTCTCTCCCTCCTCTCTCTCTCTCTCACTCTCTTAATAAACTCTCCCTCGTGGGGAAAAAAAAAAGAAAGAAAGGAAATACATAAAATGTTAGGTCCAAAGAGAAAATCTCACCAGGAAGTTGAATGAAGCTAAATCCTGTGATCAAAGATATTAAATGGTATTAAAAGAATGGTGACATTAGGGCAAGATTCCATCCATGTGAACATGGATGTGAAGTTGTACAAAGGAGAACTATATCATATTAGGAAGTATTACCTGGTTATTGTTTTCATGTGGACACAAGAGTTACCGGTATGTGTGAAATTGACAGTTGATGGACTGTGATTACTATTCTGGTTTTCATTTTAAGATCTAAAATAAAATACTTAAGTACAGGCATGGTAATATATGCCTTAAATCCTAGGAGATGAGCATCAAGCAGGTTTCTGATTCAAGTCATCCTGGTACAGAACAAGTTTTAGGTAAAGAAAAGCTTAGGTAGCCAGGCAGTGGTGGCACACTCCTTTAATCTCAGCACTTGGGAGGTAGAGGCAGGCGGATTTCTGAGTTCGAGGCCAGCCTGGTCTTCAGAGTGAGTTCCAGGACATCCAGGGCTACACAGAGAAACCCTGTCTCGAAAAACCAAAAAAAGAAAAAAAAAAAAAGAAAAGCTTAGGTAAGGTTATACACGTATTACCCAGCATTCAGGAGACAGAGCCATGCAGATCTCTGAGTTCAAGGTTAATCTACAGAGCAAGTTCAAGGACAGCCAAGCTTAGGCAGTGAATTTGTTGAAAAATAGAAAGCTGGTGATAATGTAATAGAAGGGGTCATGTTTCAGCTCAGAGGAATTCAGGAGCTTTGTCCATGTGGCTCTGGCTTTAGAGGCAAGAATAGAAGGGACAACTGACACAATCGATGCTGGTTAGCTATAGTTAAAAAATTAGTGGGGATGAGGAAGAAATCAGCACCACTGAGGTGAAATCTTCTGGTGAGTGTTTTCTGAGAGGAGAAAGAAGTTGTATTCCAGAGGTAGCCAGGATTGTTCCTTGTGGTGCAGCTTGACTCGTTCCTATGTAAGACTCACCCAGGTGGTACTGGTTTTAAGGCATGAATGTTTCATGCAGTGCAGCTAAGGCTTGGCACCATGAATGTAGCGTATGAGAGGAATGCATTGAAGACCATTTTTCGCAGAAGAACCAATATATTGAATATGTCAGTACCATGGGATGAGCAGAAAGAACAGCAGCAGCAGTTGAGTGGAGTCAAGCAGTACTATAGAGGGAAGAGCTGGAGAAGTGACCCAGCTTCTCTCTTTTGAGGAGCTCAGAAGATCATCTGTGAACCCCAGATACTGGAACAAGAAGCTGTAATTTTGAAGTTACTCTGGATACCCCAAGGTTTTTAGGTTCCAGAGCTGTGGAATACCTTTTCAGGAAAACTACTTTTAGGAAATAAAATCAGACAAAAAGAAAGAATTGTGCTGCAGTGAGCAGGGCAGGAAGGAGTTGGAGATCTGAAGAACGCTTTGACATCAGACATAGAGATGCAGTTTGGAGATTGCCTTGCTGGCTTTTGGTCTTCTTTTGCCCCAGTATTTCCTCACAATAGCATTTAGGAATGGTGAAGTATATTCTGAGAATTTAGATGTATATGATGTGCTATTTGTTTTTGAAAATATAGGGGATTACAGTTACATGATTGGAATGATCTCAGAAGAGACTTTGAACTTTGGACTTTTGGGGGTTGTTTTGTTTTGTTTGGTTGTTTTTGTTTTTTGTTTTTGGGTTTTTTTTTTTGTTTTTTTGTTTTGGTTTTTCAAGACAGGGTTTCTCTGTATAGCCTTGGCTGTCCTGGAACTCACTCTGTAGACCAGGCTGGCCTCGAACTCAGAAATCCGCCTGCCTCTGTCTCCCAAGTGCTGGGATTAAAGGCGTGTGCCACCACTGCCTGGCTTGAACTTTGGACTTTTAACATTAATGGCACTGCTATAGATGATGGAACTTTTAAAATTTGAACCTCACATATTTTGTATTATGCTATTTTTAAATATGGTCCCCATATACTCATGTGTATGCACAATCATATGGGGGCCAGGCAGTGGAATGCTTGGCTCAGGGACTGGCACAATTATGAATTGTGGCCTTGTTGGAGGAAGTGCATCACTATGGGGGTGGGCTTTGAAGTTACACCCAGTGCTGAATGGACCCTCCTACTAGCTCCCTGGCAGACAGTCTCTTCCTGGCTGCCTTTGGATCAAGAAGCAGAACACTCAGCTTCTTTGCCACCATCATGTCTTCTTGCATGCCTGCCATACTTCCTGCTATGATGAAAAAGGACTAAATCTCTGAAACTGTAAGCCAGTCCCAATTAAATTGTTGCTTTTATAGAAGTTGCCTTGTTCATGATTTCTCTTCATAGCAATGGAAACACTGAGACAGAAACCCTGTGAGTGTATTTAACAAGGTCAAGCCTTTGCACAATTCTCTAGTCTTCATTATCATGAAAGAATATGTGTTAGAGAAAAACCTTATGAACATGTTTAATATAATGAAGCATTTGCATACCTCTAAAGTCTTCATCATCATGAAACTATTCATACTGGACAGTGGTTACATATTGTGCTAAAGCCTTTATGTTATCGGGTCCACTGAGATCCAACACAACTCAAACATAGGACAAGGCAAATGATGAGAATTTATTGTAATCAAGTCACTACTGATAAATCAGGGCCACAAAGTTATCCTCAGAAGCTTAGGTGCAATACCCCCAGCCTCACCCCCACCCTGAGCCAGAAAGTTATATAGCTTCCAAAAGTCAAAACCACAAAGTCCTGTGCCAAGTTACAGTTACATTTTTCTTCCAATCACTTTTTTTTTCTGTTGTTACTCTATGTCAAATGATACAGAATGTAGGTTGTATGGGCTACACTATCATAACCACTTGTTTTTTTTTTTTTGTGGTTAGGAACATGCATTATATTTTGAAGAATAAAACATAAATAACAGAAACTATGGTTAGGAACAGTCATTGTGTTTTGGGGGAACAAAACATGAATAATGAAAGCTAGTCAGATATTGTTAAGTACTCTGGTCCCTTATAACCTGAGACTTGAACTTAGTTTCAATTTATGATTAAATGCAGGTTGATAACAAAAGGCAGTCCTTAGAACAAGTTTCTTTTGCTTCTTTCCAGCATTTAGATATCACAGTCATCGTTGACTACATAACAGAACACATATTGGAGAGAAATCTTATAACTAAAATCAATGTAATAAAAACTTTTCACAACACATGTATTTGAACAAAAAAGAATGCATTCTGGAGAGAAATGCTATGAATAAGCCATGTGGTAAAGCCTGGAGGACCGTGAGGGGATGACTTGGTCTCCTTGGTAGAGCACTGGGTTTGAGATAGCCAGAGACCCAACAGGTGATCATCACCTTTGTAGGGATGGAACATATCTCACCACACCCCCGGATTCCAGACTCCTGACATTCTGTCTACATCTCCATTAATCTGCACCTTGCAGGCATGTTTGGCTAAGCAGCTCCTCCCAGAGAGGTTTGTGTCACCATCCACCTACAGGTAGAGGGCATGACTACAGGCTTCAGCCTCAAGAGATTTCCATATTAATAAGTTACCTAAAGGCCAGGGGGTGTAGCTAAATTAAGTTATTCCTTTTCCCAGCCCCTCCTCCTCCCCCTCCCTATTTAAGCCAGCTCTCCCCTGGCTTAACTGGGGGGCGCAGACCATCTAGCACACGCCATGAGCAATAAAACTCTTGGAACTCTGGACTTTCTCGAGTTATTGGGATCCACCATCCCCATAACTTATTGGAAAGCCGCTCCCCCCCCCCCCCCGTCTCCAAAGCGCAGTTCAACAAAAACCTTTGCATGTAGCAGTAGTCCTAGAAACAATGAGAAATAGCCATAATTCGAGAAACCCCATAAACGTAGTCAATATCTTTCTGATATCTTTATAGAAGACTAAACTCTTTAGTAAGTAATCAATCTATTAAAGCCTTTGCATATTACAGTAGTCTTTGAGCACCTTCAATAATATCAAAAGTAATCTGACGACAAATAATTTGTATGATCTTACCCAACACACTTAGAGTTACCTGAGTTTATTTATTATGAGGGAAAAAATGTGACAAACATCAACAATCAATTCAAACTTTATGATGTCTCAATTTTGTTTTCACTATCAAACTCATTTGTACATAGGAAGTCCACTGGTTTTTCTTTTTCTTTTTTAGTTAATCATGTTTCCAACAACTTGCTGAAAGTGTTTATCACCTCTGGGAATTTCCTTTGGGAAATTTTGGTTCACTTGTGTATGCTATCATATCATTTGCAAATAAAGATAATTTTACTTTCTCCTTTTTGTAGGACCCCGAAGGGCTGCTATGCCCTGGCTGAGCCTTTCAGTATGCTGCTGTCTACTAAGTAACATTCTGCGATTCCTCTAGGATCAAAACATCCTGACTAAGGCATGGTACCCCAGGAAGGGAATTTACACTTGACATCTGTAACAGCCGGTTCTGCTCCACGTTTGGGGGCCACTTTGGAACAGCCGAGCTGCTGCTCCAGTCTGCGAGTCAGGGTCTAGCAAGAGAGAGAATGGGTATAGAAGGTCAAGATACTCAAAGAATGGAGACAAGACAGAGAGTCTGTTCAAGTCCCTCCTTTATTGAAAGGAAATTCTAGGTATATATAAGCACAAGCAGGGGAACACAGCTGAAGACACTTTACCACATGCACCTTGCAGCTGGGGACACTAAACCACAAAACAAGTCTTGTGAGAAAAGTAAGTTGTTTATCAGAGTGTGCTCAGCTGTTGAGGCTGTTGAAAACAAGTCTCTTGTCAGGGTATATGGCTGGAGATGGCTATAAAGATGATAGCTGCTTTCTGCTAGGACTTGGCTCCCAATGGACATCCTATTGCTCCCCAGTTGAGTTCCTATTTTTTCCTGAGTTTGTGTTTTTCCTTCCCTGGCTTGGTATATATATATATATATTGAACCTGCCCAGTAAAAGTTTTGGCATTCTCTCACAATGGATGACCCGAGTCTGAGTATTTCTTTAATCCCCCAGGCCTACGCCCGAGCTTAGTACCGTGGGCAGCACCGAGCTGTCACCTTTCTAATCTATATTACCTTCATCTTCTTCAGTTTTATTGCTCTTGCTAAAATTTTTGATACTATGTTAAATAGATGTGGAGAGAATGGATCACCTTGTCTTGTTTGTGATTTAGTGGAATTAATTAGAATTTCTCTCCATTTAATTTAATGTTGGCTACAGGTTTGTA